TTAAATAAACTTTTAAATTGTTAATTTTAAACAATCATTTTAGAAATTTCAGTTATTACAATTTATTATTTACAGTCCTGACTCCTGACCTGGCGTACCTCTCCTAGTTTCACCACAGAAGAAAGAACAATACAGAAAAGAAAGTAATGGTCGGAACTTTGAAGTTGAAAGAATAGAAATATTTGACCTTGAGTTCCACCACAGAGATACTCTGAGAAAACGTAATTATTCACAGTACACGCAAACGTAGCTATTCACTGAACCTACACTGCGAAAACTAAATTTCTCTTTTACATAATTATGTGTCATATTTTATGAAAATTTTCATGAATGCATTTAAAACTATTCTCGATTTAAGTAAATTATCTTTTGATTTCTAGCACTTTCGACAGAGGTTTCAAAAATAAAAATTATAAAGTTTTAAACAATAGTTTATTTTACCCTGTCATAATGAACTATTAATATTGTGCCACAAATCTCACTAGTAATTTATGATCCATAAGTATAAATCAATTGGGATAATTGTTAAAAAATCATTAGCTAAAGCGTATTTTAGGAATTTTATGAATAAAAAAATAAAAATATAAAAACGTGTATTTAAGCAAATAATAAGTTTACAATCTGGTGCATGTATTTTATTAAAATAGAATTGTTGGAAAATTAATTAATTAATTAATTTATTATACATAGATAAGCAGCTTTATTAAAATAGCTATATCCTAATACACAACAAAAATATAGAATAATTATATAAACGGTACTTGATGATAACACATTACCCGTTTGAATGTGTGCTATTACACAAGGTAGAGAAACAGATGATTGACTATGCACTTGTTCAATAACTTCTACTTCTGCTGAAGTTGAGGGCAGACACAAGTTGTCTTTGCCTTCTTTGCCATAAACAACAAATTCCTCTGAAAAAGAAAGAGAAACAAAATTTTTAACAGATCAACTGGTGTCAAGAAGGTGCATCATCTGTCAGAATTAAATGTTTGAGTCAAACTTTTTAGCCAGATGAAATTTAAAATAATTTTATAAAATGTGAATGTATTTCTGTGCCTAGGAGGTAAACTGCACTGTCATTCTAGTCAACTTTTTAGTACTGCAGATTGAATGTTGTTAAATTATTAGATTTCAACTAGATATGCATTTAGACACCCATTTATTGCCACAATATTTATATTTTTTACTAATCTAACTACTAAAACTACTTTATTTTAATTTGCCTAACTTGTTGTATGTCGACATAGTGCAGTTTACCTCTGAGGTAGTTCTACAAAATGGAATGTATAAATTGATATTCTAAGATTATTAGTTTTTATCATTTTATTTTTTAAACTACTAAATGTAATATAAAAAAATGACAAGACGACTAGCAAACTTTTTGTAACATTTAACTATAAATTCTATTTATTTACCTTGCAAAACTGTGACTCTTTTCGTATGTTCTGAATGGGGAAATACTGTTGGGAATGCATTTGCAAATAATCGTTCTCTTGTTCCTGACTGATAAACGAATTTATCCTGGAAGTATAGTTTACAAATTTTGTAATTTTTTCTTAAGTGTTCAACACCATTTCTCAATAAGTTCTCTCTATTTGCTGCCTTAAGCCACAATTTAAGTCTAAAAAATACATACAATCATTGTACTGCCATGTTAAGGCAAGGTCCATTCCTATTTTACCCTCAAAGTTTCATACCTACCTCAATGGATCGTTCACAAGAGTGAACAATCCTTTTTTGCCACCTGTTCTTGAGGTACATCCACGACAAATACAAGTATATCTTCTTCCTCTTTGACGCGGCATTGTTTATAAACTTAATCTTAATACGTACAATAAAGTCTTAAATTAACAACTCCACAATTAAAAACATCAACAAAAACTTAAAATAAACCACTAAAAAAACGTAAAAGTTATCAGAATATTCGCTAAAAACAACCAAAAATCCAAAACGACAAATAAAGACACGACAGAAAAAAATATTGATTTTCTAACAGCGACAGCAGTGACAGCTTCGTTTATCTGCTATAAAAGTGTGCACTGTTGCACTTCGAACAAGTAACAAATCTACGGTTTAATTTTGACAATGCTCCACTATGAAGAAGGTGTGGCTTCGGTTGCTAGGTTCCTGTTTTAGCCCTATGTTTCTTTTCTGTATTGTTCCTTATCCTGTGGTTTCACTCAAAATAAACATGGCTACTTGTTATAACAAAATAAAATATTAAAAACCTACCTAAATAAGTGAACAGACTTCTTGTCTCTCAAATAATTTGCGCTTGCATGGTAATAACAGTCCCTTATTATAAAACTTGGCATTTTTTGTCCAAAATAAACTCACTTGACAACACAGTAAACAATATCTAGTAATTTCATGGACAGCGAAAAAATGGCGATACACACGTTATCCGTCAGCCACTTGTTGTCGAAGACAAGTGGTGGAGAGGGAAGACTTCACTTATTCACTTTAATTGGTAGAACTTGGTAGTGGGAATTAAGGGGGAAAAGGGCAGTGTACGCATTCGACCATGTTACATCTTTGGTTTCTTTAATCTAAGAGTCAACATGTCTCGGGTCGGATTTCAACTATCTCTACCCAACTCAACTCCAGATTTACGCTCCGACCAGTAAAGATACCTCGAGGTAGACATACGAGTATATCTCGTTACACACTCACTTCAGTTTTAGGCTTTGACCAGTGAAGATGCCTCGGGGTTAGTGTATATTTCGTTATACAACATTCCTACGGCGAACCTCTCACAACTAACATGTCTCGTAATGAGTCACTTCTCTCAACCGTCAAAATGTAATACACCGGAAATTTGCTTGCCGGCAGGCAAAGCTACCATTCGAATCATGAATTCGCGTGAGATTGAATTTCCTATAAACATAAATAGTTACTCGTGTAAATATGTATATAATTTGTGTTCCCAGTTTTGTTGAATGATTAAATAAATATTGCGCCGTTTATCAGTTTTTGATTTATGATCAAAGGGGTTTCCTCTTAACTCTCAGTCCACACACAAGATCTGAAATAGGATAGTATGTAAAAATAAAAATGAGATTAAATTAAAACTCAAACTGTGGGATGAGAGAAATAATAGAATAGAAAATAAAAGTAAAAATTTTAAAATAAAAGTAAAACAGATACAAAGGTAATATAAGAATAAAATGGAAAACGAAATAAAACAGATACGGAGTGATTATAAAAGGATTATGTATGATTATGTAGGATTATGTAGGATTATGTAGGATTATGTAGGATTATGTAGGATTATGTGGGATTATGTAGGATTATGTAGGATTATGTAGGATTATGTAAGATTATGTAGGATTATGTAGGATTATGTAGGGTTATGTAGGATTATGTAGCATTAGGTAGGATTATGTAGGTTTATGGAGGATTATGTAGGAGTATGTAGGATAATGTAGGAATATGTAGGATTATGTAGGATTATGTAGGATTATGTAGGATTATGTAGGATTATGTAAGATTATGTAAGATTATGTAGGATTATGTAGGATTATGTAGGATTATGTAGAATTATGTAGAATTATGTAGAATTATGTAGAATTATGTAGGATTATGTAGTAATATGTAGGCTTATGTAGGATTATGTAGGGCTAAATGATTGAAAAATGATAAATGATTAAAAAGAATTAAGAATAGGGGTTGGCTGAAGAGGCAAGAGTGAAAATAAAACTATGAATAAGGATGGAATTGTAAGTTTGCAAATGACTGAAATATGGAAAATGCGATTACATATCAGTAATACGAATTTAGAGAATAAAGTAAATGAAAGGGAAAAAAATTTAATTTATAATTATGAGAGTATTAAAAGGTACCGTAAAACAAGGTCACTTTATGACAGCTAGGTGACTTTGTAACAGATGGTAGCGCGCAAACCTAATCCGTAACAGTTTTCACATTTATCAACCGATTACACCGTAATTGTGCTTAGAGCCTACCGATAACTCTCGCACACATCAATGTGTCAGTGAATATTGTGGGAGAAGGCAGCGTGCTGTAAAAACCATAAATATAAATACTAGGTAATTTTACTAATTTACTTTTCTCGTATACTTTACCTAACTTAGCTTAAACTATTATATGTAGCCAGTATTTAAATCATATGTAGTGTTTGTTATAGTTTAGGTTATCGATTGAATATTTCATGTATTGATAATTCTAATTAACAAGTGCCGACATTATTAATAAATTTTCAACAAAATGTGGGGTGAAATTGCGACACAATTTATTTAATATTTACAAAATACGAGGTGGCATTGTGACATTGGTTTTTTATTTACAGAAATGTCACAAAAGTACCAGAGGCAGCTAGGCAGCTAGGCAATGTAAAAATTATACTCAAGAGACATTACAAGAGGCACTTCATAATATTAAAGCAAAGAAAATGAGCATACGTGAAGCTGCGGAGAGGTAAAAATGTAAATAACTAAAAAAAAGTATATATCTATTTATCTCCTTTTCTATATTTTAGATATGGTATTCATCGGAACACACTATTTTTAAAACTTCACGACCAGCATAATCTTCCTTCTGGTTGTCAAACTGCACTGACCAAGGAAGAAAAGGAATCCGTCATTGCACACGTAATTCCTGTATCAGTTTATGGTTTCCCTGTGACGGTTGATGACCTGAGATTTATAGTAAAGGCATACCTAGATTATAGAGGGAAAAAGATTAAGTGTTTTATTGGCTATTTTCCTGGAAAGTAATGGGTGGTTTTATTTTTGAATAGACACAAGCAATATTAGCGTTTCAAAACCGCAGTTAACCACAAAATTATAAACTCTGTAAATCTTTTTGAATCTCTTTGAATCTCTTTGAATCTCTTTGAATCTCTTTGAATCTCTTTGAATCTCTTTGAATCTCTTTGAATCTCTTTGAATCTCTTTGAATCTCTTTGAATCTCTTTGAATCTCTTTGAATCTCCTTGCATCTCTTTGAATCTCTTTGAATCTCTTTAAATCTCTTTAAATCTCTTTGAATCTCTTTGAATCTCTTTGAATCTCTTTGAATCTCTTTGAATCTCTTTGAATCTCTTTCAATCTCTTTGAATCACTTTGAATCTCTTTAAATCTCTTTGAATCTCTTTGAATCTCTTTGAATCTCTTTGAATCTCTTTGAATCTCTTTGAATCTCTTTGAATCTCTTTGAATCTCTTTGAATCTCTTTGAATCTCTTTTAATCTCTTTGTATCTCTTTGAATCTCTTTGAATCTCTTTGAATCTCTTTGAATCTCTTTGAATCTCTTTGAATCTCTTCGAATCTCTTCGAATCTCTTTGAATCTCTTTGAATCTCTTTGAATCTCTTTGAATCTCTTTGAATCTCTTTGAATCTCTTTGAATCTCTTTGAATCTTTTTGAATCTCTTTGAATCTCTTTGAATCTCTTTGAATCTCTTTGAATCTCTTTGAATCTCTTTGAATCTCTTTGAATCTCTTTGAATCTCTTTGAATCTCTTTGAATATTTTTGAATCTCTTTGAATCTCTTTGAATCTCTTTGAATCTCTTTGAATCTCTTTGAATCTCTTTGAATCTCTTTGAATCTCTTTGAATCTCTTTGAATCTCTTTGAATCTCTTTGAATCTCTTTGAATCTCTTTGAATCTCTTTGAATCTCTTTGAATCTCTTTGAATCTCTTTGAATCTCTTTGAATCTCTTTGAATCTCTTTGAATCTCTTTGAATCTCTTTGAATCTCTTTGAATCTCTTTGAATCTCTTTGAATCTCTTTGAATCTCTTTGAATCTCTTTGAATCTCTTTGAATCTCTTTGAATCTCTTTGAATCTCTTTGAATCTCTTTGAATCTCTTTGAATCTCTTTGAATCTCTTTGAATCTCTTTGAATCTCTTTGAATCTCTTTGAATCTCTTTGAATCTCTTTGAATCTCTTTGAATCTCTTTGAATCTCTTTGAATCTCTTTGAATCTCTTTGAATCTCTTTGAATCTCTTTGAATCTCTTTGAATCTCTTTGAATCTCTTTGAATCTCTTTGAATCTCTTTGAATCTCTTTGAATCTCTTTGAATCTCTTTGAATCTCTTTGAATATCTTTGAATCTCTTTGAATCTCTTTGAATCTCTTTGAATCTCTTTGAATCTCTTTGAATCTCTTTGAATCTCTTTAAATCTCTTTGAATCTCTTTGAATCTCTTTGAATCTCTTTGAATCTCTTTGAATCTCTTTGAATCTCTTTGAATCTCTTTGAATCTCTTTGAATCTCTTTGAATCTCTTTGAATCTCTTTGAATCTCTTTGAATCTCTTTGAATCTCTTTGAATCTCTTTGAATCTCTTTGAATCTCTTTGAATCTCTTTAAATCTCTTTGAATCTCTTTGAATCTCTTTGAATCTCTTTGAATCTCTTTGAATCTCTTTGAATCTCTTTGAATCTCTTTGAATCTCTTTGAATCTCTTTGAATCTCTTTGAATATCTTTGAATCTCTTTGAATCTCTTTGAATCTCTTTGAATCTCTTTGAATCTCTTTGAATCTCTTTGAATCTCTTTGAATCTCTTTGAATCTCTTTGAATCTCTTTGAATCTCTTTTAATCTCTTTGAATCTCTTTGAATCTCTTTGAATCTCTTTGAATCTCTTTGAATCTCTTTGAATCTCTTTGAATCTCTTTGAATCTCTTTGAATCTCTTTGAATCTCTTTGAATCTCCTTGCATCTCTTTGAATCTCTTTGAATCTCTTTAAATCTCTTTGAATCTCTTTGAATCTCTTTGAATCTCTTTGAATCTCTTTGAATCTCTTTGAATCTCTTTGAATCTCTTTGAATCTCTTTTAATCTCTTTGAATCTCTTTGAATCTCTTTAAATCTCTTTGAATCTCTTTGAATCTCTTTGAATCTCTTTGAATCTCTTTGAATCTCTTTGAATCTCTTTGAATCTCTTTGAATCTCTTTGAATCTCTTTGTATCTCTTTGAATCTCTTTGAATCTCTTTGAATCTCTTTGAATCTCTTTGAATCTCTTTAAATCTCTTTGAATCTCTTCGACTCTCTTTGAATCTCTTTGAATCTCTTTGAATCTCTTTGAATCTCTTTGAATCTCTTTGAATCTCTTTGAATCTCTTTGAATCTTTTTGAATATCTTTGAATCTCTTTGAATCTCTTTGAATCTCTTTGAATCTCTTTGAATCTCTTTGAATCTCTTTGAATCTCTTTGAATCTCTTTGAATCTCTTTGAATCTCTTTGAATCTCTTTGAATATCTTTGAATCTCTTTGAATCTCTTTGAATCTCTTTGAATCTCTTTGAATCTCTTTGAATCTCTTTGAATCTCTTTGAATCTCTTTGAATCTCTTTGAATCTCTTTGAATCTCTTTGAATCTCTTTGAATCTCTTTGAATCTCTTTGAATCTCTTTGAATCTCTTTGAATCTCTTTGAATCTCTTTGAATCTCTTTGAATCTCTTTGAATCTCTTTGAATCTCTTTGAATCTCTTTGAATCTCTTTGAATCTCTTTGAATCTCTTTGAATCTCTTTGAATCTCTTTGAATCTCTTTGAATCTCTTTGAATCTCTTTGAATCTCTTTTAATCTCTTTGAATCTCTTTGAATCTCTTTGAATCTCTTTGAATCTCTTTGAATCTCTTTGAATCTCTTTGAATCTCTTTGAATCTCTTTGAATCTCTTTGAATCTCTTTGAATCTCTTTGAATCTCTTTGAATCTCTTTGAATCTCTTTGAATCTCTTTGAATCTCTTTGAATCTCTTTGAATCTCTTTGAATCTCTTTGAATCTCTTTGAATCTCTTTGAATCTCTTTGAATCTCTTTGAATCTCTTTGAATCTCTTTGAATCTCTTTGAATCTCTTTGAATCTCTTTGAATCTCTTTGAATCTCTTTGAATCTCTTTGAATCTCTTTGAATCTCTTTGAATCTCTTTGAATCTCTTTGAATCTCTTTGAATCTCTTTGAATCTCTTTGAATCTCTTTGAATCTCTTTGAATCTCTTTGAATCTCTTTGAATCTCTTTGAATCTCTTTGAATCTCTTTGAATCTCTTTGAATCTCTTTGAATCTCTTTGAATCTCTTTGAATCTCTTTGAATCTCTTTGAATCTCTTTGAATCTCTTTGAATCTCTTTGAATCTCTTTGAATCTCTTTGAATCTCTTTGAATCTCTTTGAATCTCTTTGAATCTCTTTGAATCTCTTTGAATCTCTTTGAATCTCTTTGAATCTCTTTGAATCTCTTTAAATCTCTTTAAATCTCTTTGAATCTCTTTGAATCTCTTTGAATCTCTTTGAATCTCTTTGAATCTCTTTGAATCTCTTTGAATCTCTTTGAATCTCTTTGAATCTCTTTGAATCTCTTTGAATCTCTTTGAATCTCTTTGAATCTCTTTGAATCTCTTTGAATCTCTTAGAATCTCTTTGAATCTCTTTGAATCTCTTTGAATCTCTTTGAATATCTTTGAATCTCTTTGAATCTCTTTGAATCTCTTTGAATCTCTTTGAATCTCTTTGAATCTCTTTGAATCTCTTTGAATCTCTTTGAGTATCTTTAAATCTCTTTGAATCTTTTTGATTCTCTTTCAATCTCTTTGAATCTTATTCTTAAATAAGTAAATAAATAAAATGAAAAAAATACTGACGGATATAGGTTTGTTTCATGTGTATACATTGAAAATATAAAGACAAATTTTGAAGGTAAATTAAATCCTATGAAGGTAGGTGAAATAATTTTAAGAGCTCATTCTAAAATTGATAACAGAAAAAAACAAATTCAATCTATTGGGAAAAACCGAATTAGAATAATTTTGAAAGACTATTTAAGCTCCAACGTTTTGCTATCTTCTACTCACTTAAAAAAGCATGAATTAGGTGCATTTATACCAAAATTTTGATTATTTAGATTAGGAGTGGTCAAACAAATAGATGTGGATTTGTCAGAAGAATATTTAAAAAGTAGGATTTCGCCCTATGATTTGCATTGTAAATTCGAAGTAGATTTTGTTAGACGCATTAATCGAAAAAATTAAGAAAGATGATGATTCATCTGAACTTTAACCTACAAGAACAATGTTGGTCTTATTTAAATCCCAAACATTACCAAAATATATTTTAATTAACAAGGTTTTATATGATGTAGAACTATATCAACAAAAAGTGCTACTTTGCTACAATTGCTATAGATATGGCCATATGGGTCGTCAATGTAGAAAAAAGGTTCGATGTGTCAAATGCGGAAACAATCTCAACTCAGAATCTTGTCAAAATAATGACAATAAGGTATGTCTAGTATGTCAGGGAAATCACCGTACTACAGATCTGGACTTATGTCCAGAATTTAAGAGACAGAAAAATATTAAAAGTTATATGTAAAATACTAATTGCTTCCTTTGTTAATGTAAACTCAGTTGGCAGCACAGCTCCTTCACCAGTTAATATCGTATCCAATTTTATCTCTCATTCAACTTTTCCTCACACTTCTAAATTCAGATCATTCTCACAACCTATAAATTCACCGAAAACTAATAAAAGACCCCGTATTATCAACTCTAACCCTATCTCTTCAGCTCACAATGAAATTATATCTAATACTAATATTCCAAAAAGTCAAGAAGGAATCCTTTCTTCTCCTAAATATAAATCTACATTAAGTTCATCAAATATAGAGGAAAAATTGACAAGTGATAATATGTTCCAAATTATTTTACAAGTTGTTTTATCTACTATTGAAATTATTAAAAATACCAATTCCGAAATTCAAGAATCTACTATGTTAAATGTAATTAAACAAAATTTATCAAGTTCTATAGGAAAGACTCTTGAATTCGATGGCAAGTACTGATAATATTACATTGTGTCAGTGGAATTGTAGATCAGCTGTTTCAAATAAAGAAAACCTTATGTACCTACTAAATGAACAAAAAATTGATATTGCTTGTATTTCTGAAACGTATTTTAAACTTTAATCTACAAATTTAAAAATTACAATATCTTAATAGACGATCGTGTGGATCATCTTGGAGAAGGAACAGCGATTTTAGTTAAATCCAACATATTTTATAATGAAATTCCCATTAAATACTACTTATCGAATGTTAATCAAAAATCAAAATGTAGCAATATTAAAATTACAATTGTATCCTTATATATACCACCAAAAACTAAAATTTCATTATAAGAGTGGTGTTTATTCTTTGAATCAATTCCTAGACCATGTATAATACCAGGAGATCTAATTTCTCATAACATAGCTTGGGGAGGTCCATCGACTGATACATATGATAAAATTTTGTTAGAAGCTTTAGACCAAAATAATCTTAGTTTTATAAATGACGGATCACCAACGTTTTTGGGAAATCTACACACAATGCCTTCAGCTATTGATTTGACAATAGCTCTCTAGAAATTAGACATCTTCTGAAATAGGAAACTCTAAATGACTTATATGGTTCGAATCACCTTCCCACTCTTACTTCAATCTCGATCACTCCTTAAAATATAATTACTCAGACTACCAGAAAATGGAATTTGAAGAGGGCTAATTGGAATTCGTTTTATTTAAAAACACAAAAATTGTTCCTCAGAAATATTAATCTTAATTATAAAGAATTTATTCAAAACATAGATACGGCTGCTAAGAAGTCAATTCCAAAATTTATTAAATTTAACTCTTCATCTAAAAATAAATTCTGAAAAATGTGATGAAGTGATAGATAACAGAAAAAAAGCTTTCATAACTTTCCAGACAAATCCTACACTCTCAAATATTATAGAATACAGAAGATTAGATGCCATAGCAAAAAATACAATAAAACAAGTCAAAAGGGAAAGTTGGAAAAATTATTGTCTATCTCTGAACCAACATTCTCCTATTAAGGAAGTTTGGCAAAAAGTTCGTTCATTAAAAAATCAAAATTCTTCAACGATTCCTCCCGTAGACATCGAAACAGCTGAGTGGATACCAAAATTTCATTTGAAACTAGCCCCGCCATTCGTTGTCCCATGCCCTCCTAATGATTCAGAATTAAAAAATAAATCCCTAGCCACTTCAACCGAAAACTCCAAAAACTTATTAACACCATTCTCTTATAATGAATTAGAATTGGCCTTAATGAAAACAAAGAACTCGTCTCCAGATTTAGACAATATTCATTAAACAATGCTAAGTTACCTCCCTAAGATTGCTAAACAACAACTATTAAATATCCTAAACAAAATATGGGCTAAGAAACTGGACATTCCAAAATCTGTCTGATTATATAATTTTGCCCATACTCAAACCAAACAAAATTTCAACTAATGCAGATTCATATAGAAAAAAGCACTATCATCTTGTGTTTTAAAAACGTATGAAAAAATGATCAAACTTCGACTGGAACATTGGTTGGAACACAATAATATGTTTCCAAACTCAAAATTTGGCTTCAGGAGAAACAAGTCTACTCAAGAAAGTATTGCAACCATAAAAACTGACATACAAATTGGATTTTTCAAACAAATTTCTACCACTGCTGTGTTTTTAGATATTAAGGAGCTTATGATAATGTCAATCTAGAAATACTGATTCAAAAAATGACATCATTGGGATCCCTCACTTAATCTCCTTACATATTTATAAACTATATACAAGACGAAAGTTATTGATTAGAATAAATAATGAATTTAGAGGACCTCGAGAAACTTCATTTGGTCTTCCTAAAGGAAGCGTTTTAAGTCAACTTCTATACCTTAACTATACACAAGATTTGGAACGACATATCTATTCCTATAAAAATTATTTAATTTGCTGATGATATTGTTTTGTATACTCAGCATAAAAGTATTGATTCTAGTATTTATCAACTATCATTAGGTGTAGAAGACATACAGAAATGGTTGTTTGAAAATGGTCTAACAATTTCAGAAAACAAATCAGCGCTAGTTTGCTTTACAAGGAAAAGAACTCAACTTTCAAATGTTGCTTCACTAGGAAATTGTCAATTTCAACTTAAAAGTAGTCATAAATTCTTGGGTATCTATTGGACAAGAAGCTAAATTGGAAGGAACATATTAATTATATTGTAAAAAAAAACAGAAAGTGCTGTAAATTTAATAAAAACTGTTTCCAAATATAATTGGGGCGCAGACCCCAACATAGCAATTCTTTTTTATAGGGTGCTGGTTAGATCAATTTTTCGACTATGGTGCAATATTATACAATGATGCATCAAATACTGATTTGCAAAAATTGGACAGAATAAAATATAAATCTTTTAGATTAAGTATAAGTTTTCTCCCAAGTACTCCAATTAATGTAATAGAATCAGAAACTACAGAACCTCCTCTCAATTTTAGAAGAATATTTTTATCCGAAAAGTTTTTAATAAATCAAAGGTCGAAAAATTCGGTTCTTCTTCCCCTTTTATCCAATTTATCTTCTCTGTGTTTAACTAGAAAGTATTGGTCAAAGAAAAAACTACCTTTACTAGTAGAGACTTTTTTATCTACCATTGAAATGATTCCAGACCTCCATCAACAAAATCAAATTCCACTATGGTCCTTACATTTTTCAGCTTTAACAACCCCATTGAAAACATATATAAACAAAAATCTACTGAATAAAAACCCTCCAGTGATTAAAAACGCATTCAAAGAAGATTTAATAAAAAAATGAAATACATTTGAAAACATATATACGGACGGATCTAAAATTTGGAACCAATTAGGATGTGCAATTTTGTATCCTAACAAATATTATGAAATTTAATTTAAACTTCCCAGTACAATGTCATTATACAATGCTGAACTTGTTGCTATATAAATATAGTTTAAAAAAACTAAAACACACGCTTTTAGAGCATATCAAACTAAAAAGTTAAAAATAATTTTTTAAATAAGCTTAAAACCATAATAAATGGAAAATACTAGTATTATTGTAAAAAAAGCGTCGGGCGCTCGATGTACGAGAAATATGGACAAAGCGCTTCACGCATTTTTCACAATTATACTAGTACTTTCCATTTATTATTGTTTTAAGCTTATTTGAAAAATTATTTTTAACTTTTTAGTTTGATAAAAGCGTATTTTTTAGTTTTTTTAAACTATATTTATTTTTCACTTTTTAGTTCGAATTATGAAAGCGTGTTCTTTAGTTTTTTTTAAACTATATTTATTTTTTACTTTTTAGTTCGATTAATTATTAAAAAAAAAAGTAAGTTAAAATTGCTAAAAAAAAATATTTTTTTTTTCAGCCGTGGGATTAGAACCCACGATCGGTGAGTCTGGCAATCAAAAACTCGCGTCTTAGACCACTAGGCCACGAACCAATTTGAGTTGGTTGGATATACTGACAGTTATAAGTCACTTGAGTCCAAAGGAGAGTTACAAACATACATACATACAGGTGAAGCTAATATAAGCGTGTTAAAAAGAAGCTTTTAACTTATGCCTTCAAGAAAATAAATCTAAGTATGTTATATTTACTGATTGTAAGAGTCCAGTAGAATATTTTGCAAAATGGAACGTTACCAGTCCTACCAACTATATAGTCTCAGAAATTCT